AGGAAAAATTATCTAATCATTTTTTAATTTATCATACGGATATCAATTTAATAATTTATTTTTAAATTTTTGCACAAAATTCAATGATATCCTTCCAATCAATTTTCTCTGGAAGCTAGATCGCTGCATTAACGATTTTCAGCAAAAATTAACCGAAAAAATTACATTAGAATTTCATATTAAATTTTAGGAATAAATTAAAAAAATTGAAAAATTTAGGGTTGATTGAGTAATTTTCCTTCCTTCGGACTATAACCAAAAACTAGAATTATTTTGTTTTTCCGCCAAAAGCTACCTGAAATAAGTAAATCTCAAACTAGTGTATTATTTCACGAGACTCTTGAGTCACGAAATACCTCCCTAATGTCGTGAACCAAATAACATAAGAGATAAAACTTGAGTAGGCGACGCAACCATCAAATCGCTTGGATTGGGCAACGCAAGTAATTGGACCTACGTGGTGCATTTAGCTAATCCTCTTAACTTAATCATGCACATTTTGGACATGCTTGACTAAGCGACTTAATTAACTAACTACCTCTTTGTTAACACAACATGTTTAGCCTTATCCAAGCACTTTTTAATGTGTGTTCTTCATGCTTGAACGAGGCAAATCATTAATTATGGAATATTATACATGTCATGTTCGAATTTCTATGGGTGTGACGCGATCAACGGGAGTTGGAGTTGGAGTTGACAAATAGATGTAACGTACTTGATTATATGGGTCCAACGAAGACTTTTACAAAATAGTAAACTGTTTTCTAATAAAGATTTAGGGTTTTGAACATAAATCTATGTATAAAATGCATTGTACATCTGGATATAAATAAATACTTTAACTTTTAGCATACATGTACATCATTTGATACTAGTTTACATCCTCAAAATACCGAATGATATTATCTAGTCAGATCTCTCTGGAGACGGTCACGTGTCACTTTTTGATTGGTTGTCGAGCTCTTCTATTGTTGTTTTATACCACATAAGTTGCATAAAGGGGAGTGGTTTTCGGAAGGGTGCCCGTACGGAATTTGGACCGTTGGATCAAAAGAAAAAGAACTTCAACCGTCGGATGGTTTACAAAAAAATAATAACTTACAAACGTGTAGGGAACATTACTAACTATAAGATTGCTAATGCTACTTATCATTAATGACAATTCCGATATTTGAGGATAATTACTCATTGACAAGGTTATTACGTCTACAAACTATGAAGCAATATTATGATCATAGAGATAAGTTACTAAGGCTCCATTTGTTTCACGGAAAATGTGATCTTTCTGGAAAATATTTTTCAGAAAGTTATTTTCTGGTATTTGACTGAATTAAAAATGAACTAAAAGATATTTCCACCATTTGGTATGAAATATTTGATTTGATTTTCCTTCCTGCACTCCTTTTAATAATTATTTTATTTTTTTTATTTTGAAAAAATTAAATTTTTTTATTTTTTCTTTTCTTTTTTTTTCTTTTTCCTTCTTCTTCAGCTGGTCGCCGGCCACGGCGACGGCTGATGACCGACCACAAGCGAGCTTGCCTCACCTGTGGTTGATCGCTGGTTGTCGTCGTCGCGGGCAACCAGCCGAAGAACAAGGAAAAGAAAATTAAAAAATAAAATAAATAGAAATAATAATTAAAAATTCGATTTTTTAAAATAATGAAAAGAAAAAATAAAAATAAGAAATAATTAAAACGAGTGCACGGAAGAGAACGTACTTGGTTTGAGTGAAAGAAAGAGGAGGGAAAATATTTTCCTCTTTTGAAATCATTTTCCCCTCTTTTGAAGGTGTTTTTTTCCATAGATGGAAAATGTTTTCCCTAACTAACTTATTTTCTGTGAACAAAACACCAGAAAATCCAAAAAACGTTTTCTAAGAAGTTTTTTTCCGAGAAATAAACGGAGTCTAAAGAATAGAAACAAAAGATTTACCATAAAGTCAAGCTATTTGTGATTTTTCTGTGAAAGTTACCGATAGAATATTTAAATATTAAACTATGCTTTTATTTAAATTTTAAAATAGTTTTTAATAGTCCCATAAAATCTCACATGATATTAAAATAGGAGGTTCTAAAATCAAATTTTTCTAGGCTCATGTTTGTCTCTCAAATGAAATATTTCCACGTCTAAAACTAGGCAAAAAAAACCAAATTAAGCGTGAGTTTCATCTAACAATTTAAACTTTAAAACAGTTGAATCTTACAATTATGACCGTTACAATTTTCAACGTTAAATTTTTTTTACGTAAATTACTACATATGAATTATCGTTACTAACTTGTCATTACAAACGTTTATAGGAAAAGGTACAATTATTGAGGACAATTACTAAGTCTAGGTACTTTCTTTTTTAACCAGAATGTATAAGTACCTTCACTAACGATAATTTGAGGCACTTTAATATACTATTGATTAATTACTAAGGTTGACATTTTCATGTAACGAACTCTACAATTAAATTACCATCCGTAAAGGTAAATTAGTAATTACAAGTGCAAACGAGTTACAATCATTACAGTTAAATTACAACCCGCAATATTAAATTTCTACTTATAAGTGCGACCGATTTTACGATTGTTTTCGGTAAATTATGACAAATTTAGGAAAATTACGATTTTTTGCTTATGGGACCCTAGAAGCACCCCGCAAAAGTTTATAAAGTTATGCCCGGCCCACTCATTACACGCATAAAGCGTGTAGAGATATCAAGTTCGATTCTACTAGCTCGTAACTTTTTAATTCACTACATTTTAACATCACTACTAATTGTTACAACTATACCAAAAGAATTGTATTCTCAAGTACTGACCCCATCAATTGCATCTAACTACGATTAGTCACATGTGATAATATATTATTAATTCGTTTGGATTTGCAAAAGATATGCTTCCTCTTCCGACAAAGCCAAAGGGCTAAAGGGATAAATGGAGCTCGAAAACAGCAAATAAAAGAAAAGTAGAGACAGAGATTCCATTCTTCTGTACATATATTTTTCATCGGGCCCGGCAGATTTTCAAATTGGGAATTCGGGCCCTTTTTTGGGAAAAAGGGTTATCGAAATTGGATTTTCGGGAGGCCAAATAGAAAAAAAAAAGTTCAACGATATGCAAGAGGATACATCAGTACTGGTAAAATACTTAAATATTAAATCACGCATTCATTTAACGGCTTAAATTTTTAAAACCATTGGCATTAGTCATACAGAGTCTCACATGGTATCAAAGCGGGCAATCCTGAATTCAAATCTTAATTTTCAGACCACATTTGTCTCCCTAATTAAATATGTCTATACTTACTAAACTTGAGGGGGAGTGATAATATACTTAAATATTAAACCACGTATTATCTAACAGCTTAAACTTTTACTAATATAATACTTAAATATTAAATCACACATTCATCTAACAGCTTAAGCTTTTATATTAGTAATCCCACAAAATCTCACAAGTACCTTTACAAGTAAGTAAGTAAGCGGCCTAACCTTCGGTTCCTTAACATTTTTTTTGGTTAACAATTGAATTAATTTTTCGAAAAAAATGCATTTTAACCTTTCTATAAAATTAATTCTTCTAATTCAATTATTCGCGCAAAGTGCACATTTTCTAATTCTTCTAATTCCATTCTACCATAGAGGACAAGTAATGCTTTTTCTAATCTAATAAATCCAAAACTTTATCAAAAATTAATTTATTGATATTTGAAAGAATGAATGAATTTGGTGCTGTTATGAAGAGAAATAACATATTTACTTATTAGTAAATCTCTTATTTATGGGGTTTATATACTCTTTATATACATGTAATCTCTCTTCACCTATGAGTTAGCTTTTGAATTGACATTTTTAATATGGTATCAGAGCTAAGTTTAGCCCCAATTTATTTTGTGTGTGCAGTCCCGCGTGTGTCACATTCCTCGTATCATTGCTAATCCGGCTTACACTTGAGATAAGGGTTAAAGTACCCACACATTACTTGTTTACGGAGTTTATAGGCTCTTCAAATTTATATCGTCTACTCCATCTATAAAGTTAGGTTTTTGGATTGGACTTTCTAACATTATATTATAGATCATAGGTTATATTTGTAATTATATTTTCCATAGTTTCTCTCACTTTCAGCAAAGCACATACAACCTACGAAACAGTACATAATGTATTCTTTATTGAATTGCTTTGCTCATCAAACGCGAGGTGCAATTTTTTTTTTCTAAATTTGTCAATTATAAAATAGTCAATTATCAGCACCCAATGAGTCAAATTGTACAAATTGGACAAAGATTTAATTTTGTCGAGGAAAGGGGCAAGATCCAATTTAAAATCATTAAGTTGTGCCTAACACTCCATCGTCTCAAATCTGACTGAACGTGCTCATCTTCTGGTCCGCCTATATCTAGGGCTGAGATTGCTGGGCAAACAACTTTTTCTCCTCTCAACAACGTTAGAAGAAAGTATTTTATGGCGTCGTAAAAAGACGAGCCGATCATTTTAAAAGGAAGAAGGTAAAAAATTACTTAATCCTTCTACACGTGTCAATGACACGAGACACCATGGATTCTAAAGATAAGGATCTTTCACTTCTTCTTTTCCTTAGTATTCGAGCTGAACATTGGTTTTTCTTTCTTGACTAACCCTAGGTAGGCCAGGCATTAGCAAGTGATTGCGCAAAATATAACCTGGCATTACCCTATGAATATATCCACTAGCGTTATCTACAACAAGTGGGAGGCTAATGGGCGTATCAGAACGTGGGCGACAGCGGCTAATAAATATTTATTACGTTGGGTGACGCACTAGATGCGTTCATCAATGGCAAAAGAAAATAATTTTCTTTTTCGACGAAGGAATGAAAAAACTGTGGACTTCATTCTATAGAGCACGTGTTTCATAGACAACCAATTCGATCTATTATTGTCATTTGTTTGTAAGTGGGGAAAAGAAAATAAGAAAGCAATCGACAAAAAAAAAAAAAAAAAGACCTCGGCCATTCATGTGGCATCGATTAAAAGCCCTCATTGGTCAGTGCACTCATTCCACTAGACTTCTCTCATTATCTAAAAAAGGCAAAGCAAACATCAATGGAGTGCCCAAGCTGGAGGTGTTTTCTGAGCCTTCTAGACCGTGTGAGCTTCTTCATCGTCTTCCTCGTCACGGTCGTCTTCGTCGTCTCCGTCTTGTACCTCGCGAGGCCGAAACTGTGGTGCAACTGCGAGATATGCCAGACCTATCTGTCCCTCGGGTGGTCGAAGAGGTATGTCAATCTCTGCGATTGGTACGCTCATCTCCTCCGGAGCTCGCCGACCAAGACAGTCCACATACACGTCCTCGGCAACACGATCACGGGCAACCCGGATAACGTCGAGTACATGCTCAAGACGAGGTTCGAGAACTACCCGAAGGGTAAACCCTTCTCGACGATCTTGGGGGATTTCCTCGGCCGGGGGATTTTCAACGTCGACGGCGATTTGTGGAAGTTTCAGAAGAAGATGGCGAACCTAGAGCTCGATAGGTTCGCGATTCGATCCTACGCGTTCGAGATTGTGAAGTGCGAGATCGAGAACCGGCTCGTAACTCTCTTTTCGTCCGTTGTTGGCAAAGAGGGCGCTGTCCTCGATTTGCAAGATGTGTTCAAAAGATTTTCATTCGATTGCATATGTAGGTTCTCGTTCGGCCTGGACCCGAGATGCCTAGAGTTGTCCTTGCCCATGTCGGAATTCGCTCTTTCGTTCGACTTAGCATCTAAATTGTCCGCTGAACGAGCCATGGAGGCATCACCTTTAGTGTGGAAGATCAAAAGGTCGTTCAATTTAGGAAGTGAGAAGAGACTAAAGGAAGCAATTAACATGATCAACATTCTTGCCCTCGAAGTCATTAGGCAAAAGCGCAAGACTGGATTCTCTAACCACAGAGATCTCCTGTCCCGCTTCATGCGCACAGTGAGTGACGAGACATACCTTAGGGACATCATCGTGAGCTTTCTTTTAGCTGGCCGCGACACAGTCGCTTCGGCCCTGACCAGCTTCTTTTGGCTCATGGCCAAGAACCCTCGAGTGCGATCGAAAATTCGTGCCGAGCTGGATCATGTAATGGGCGATCAAGAGCTGGTGAGCTACGATCAAATCCGAGAACTCCCTTACTTGCAAGCCGCGATTTATGAGAGCATGAGGCTCTATCCACCCATCCAATTCGATTCAAAATTTTGCGAGGAAGACGATATTTTGCCCGACGGGACATTTGTGAAGAGAGGCACAAGGGTTACTTACCACCCATACGCGATGGGTCGAATCGAGGATATATGGGGCCCGGATTGTTTGGAGTACAAGCCGGAGAGGTGGCTAAAGAACAGTGTCTTCTTTGCGGAGAACCCGTACAAGTACCCGGTCTTCCAAGCTGGACTTAGGGTTTGTTTGGGGAAAGAAATGGCTTTCTTGGAGCTGAAAAGCGTGGCGGTCTCGTTGCTCCGGAGATTCGAGATAGAGCTGGTGACCACGGACGAAGTGATGCGATTCTCGCCGGGGCTAACCGCCACCATCCGCGGGGGTCTTCCGGTTGTTGTAATAGGAATCTGAAGCCCCACTAGCAGACATCGCAGGTTCGTCCCGTTTGGGTTGCTAGCTTGCCATTCCATAAGGTGGCCGATAGCGTACTGTGTTGTCCAAATACCATGTGATATTTCCTCTTTTGTTGCATCTCCATCGTCCGTATTGGTAGCATATAGCTGAATATGCGTGTGGGTGTTCCTTTTTTTCCCCACTTCTGACACACCAATTAAAAGTTGATGGGTGTCATCCATGAAAAGAAAGGTCGAAGTGGTGGTCTGAAATTGATTTAAATGGTCTTCAAGGACTCTCTCTCTCTCTCTCTCCCTCCCTCCCTCTCTCTCTTCCCCCAGATGAACAGAAACGTCTGGCTAGTGTTGGGGATGGTTTGTGTGTTCTTTCTTGTGGAAAATGATGGGTAATTGACGTTCTTTATTGTTGTTATTTTCCCTTTTTTTTAATTTGAAAATTCTCGTTAGGTAAAGTTCATGTAGCTTGTAGGAAGGATCGCTGGTGTTGTGCTTTGCCCCACTGTACTGTTGGGGGGAGAAGAAAATGTATTCTTGTGGGAAACAAACGAGTGATCAAACGAATGATCATGCTCATTTCTGTGATGCAAACGACTTATTTTTTGCTATATACTTTTGATATCTGAATATCTCTATGCTTTCTTGTGATTTTGATGATTGAAATCCTCTTGGCTATAAAGAAAATGTTTTCTTCGATTGGAATTATCATAAACATTGTAGAAGGAAGTGACTGGTGATGGCTTAGTGCAAGGGTCAAATGGAACGATCCAAACACAAGCTAGTTGTGCGTGAGGGACTTGTTCTCCGTGATAACTCGACAGCATGTCGGATCATTCGGACGTTGGTACAACCAATGTTGGCTTAACTATCTGCCATTCGCTTCTTTCGCTCGATCAAAACAACTTTAGTAAGAGATTAAGAGAACATATGAGGTTTTTCCCCAAGTTAGATTTTTCTTCTTCAATCATCTATATATCGATCACACGAGGTTGTGGGTTTCAATAGCCTATTGGTGATGGTTATGATACTCCGAAGGGCTGACGGTTCGTGTTTACGCGTCATATTCAAGTTTTATAATCGTGTCAAGTCGTGTAATGGAAAAATACGGTTTGTTTCCGTTAATTAGGCAATAAAAACTTATGTACGTTAAGTTCATATCGTCCGTATCACTTTCGGATTTGTTGGTAATCGTTTTAAAACCCATCAATAAATAATTTAAAAACTGGTAGCCCATCACCCAATATATTTTGAAAACCTACACCCTCATATGATTGATAAATGGATAAATGGAGATGAAAAGTCTAACTTACGAGGATATAAAGCTGCCTCTTTATTCAGCCAATGACTCCAACTACATGAAAGTGTCATTTAGTCAAAGATAAGACACTGGAAGTAGGGCTAGTAATTTGTGTGCGCGTGTCGTGTTCTTGTCTGCTAATAATTCCCGTCGTTATAAAAATGTTTCAACGTAATCACACTATGATTTTCATTAACAATGAGTGAAAACGTGTCAATTTATATCAGTTTCAAGTTTAGTTGTGGTGCATCATTTCGGGGTCAGAAATTTTGTATCGCGTTCAAGTCGTGTCGGAATTGCCGCCTGTAACCGGGACCCTATCTTGCGAATCCGGGTTTTCAGTTCTCCGAGCTTAAAAACCCAATAAGAAAAACAAATCTGGGCTTAAAAATTGAATCCATCGTACTTAATTATTTCTATGAAAACAAAAATTGGCAATGTAATTTATCCCCATGTGAAGGATTACCAACGTGGAGATCGTGTTTTCTCGCACATAACTTCCACAAACTTGCACAGGAGAATAGTGTAGAAAAACATATAACGTGCAAAAAGTCAGACGCACAAAATATAAGACATTGGAAAATGAAAAGACAATAAAATCGCGTTCGGTGTGTAGTCAATTTGCACGAATTCATTTCATAAGGAGACATGTCGAGATGGAATCTCTTTGCCTCTTGAAACCCGCCATGTACGATTTGTGCCATCCAACCTTCTAGGCACGACCTGTTTGTTTTTTCTTTGACAATCGGTTCCGCTCTCGAACATTTGTACTCGTTCAGGCATGTCCCACGTTTTCGAAACTTTTTGTGCATTGTCTTATTCTTACTAAAGGAAAGATTCTCTCTGAGATCACGTATATGAATTTAGAGCACCAAATTATCAAACTCGAATGCAAACTTAGATCAAATTGAGAGCAATTGATTGCTGCATTCGTCGAGTTGTTGTTCGGTGCTACTTGGTCATCACCAAAGGAGTAAAGAGAAATTATCGGTATACTAAGATTAGCCTATAATTTGTACAAAATAATGTTGCACTTATAGACTGTTATCGATCGTTGGAAATGATAGACTTATTTTAATGTCTCACTTCCGATCTGCCACATAGGCAATGTTGTAGACCGATCTTGATATACTTTACATTGGCCGAGAAAAAATCCGATTAGGATTAGTTAGGAGGAGCCAAGCTAAATATAAAAGCAACACTATCCAATAAACCCTCTCATCACTCGTCATGAAATTCACGGACTATGAACGGAAAGGTGAATAGGGTTTAAGTCAAGAACGAAAAGGAGGAGAGTAAAAATCAAATCTTGACCAGTTTATACTTTTCAAAGCAGGGCGACGATTCAAGGAATGGCGATCCATAAAAATGTGATTCATAATGATGATGATTCGTGAATCATATCGATTGAAGCAATGTGTTGGGACACTACAAGATAGCTGTCAAAGCCCATAGTACGAAGCATCAAAGGTACAATACGCACCTTGTACTATATGAGGAATCGAAACTTATACGTTTTGAATGATTAAAAGAATTAAAATTACTTTTAAATCTTTTAAAAGGGGGCATATCAAGTCGTTGATACGGATAGGCACGTGACTAGAATGCAAGTTGTTATTAAACATGTGAGCCATTGTTGACGTCTACAAGAAATGTTATCAATATTAATCTACATCGATGACCATTAATCAGTTGTTGATATACAACAATGTATGGTTGGCGATTGTAGACAAGGATATCAGTTAAAAGGGTTGATAGACCACCATTTGAAACACCAAGAGAAGACTGGATACCAAGAGGGCGTCAGGATGCAGTTACAAAATTTTGAATTTGAAATCACTAGTGAGTGAAGCTAGGAAGACCGGTAAAACGTGGAGCAAGAATGGATGAGGCAACACATATGGACATGAAGGTTCAAAACGCGATTTTAATGGAGCAACCGCTTGAAGACAAGATCATGGAGTCGCGAAAACGTGGTCCCCATATCCTTGGAGACATGAAGGCTTGGCTATACTGCAGGAGAACTCTTCCAAGACGGTTATGTCAGGAACACTATAAATACCATCGTTCGTCTATTGGAGACCCCCCTCCTCCCGCGCACAAACAAACAAACATGTTATCTTTCAATTATCTTTAAATTTATGCACCATTGTTATAGTTTCTAGACTTGCGTCGTCAATTAAATTCCGACGTGTTTATTTGCTGTAGTTTTCAGATTCGCATTGTTGATTAAATTCTGGTGTGTGTCTTTGTTGTATATCTTGGGTGCCTCGTCGGCTATTAAATTTCAGTATAGTTTGTCTACGTTCGATTTTGTTGAAATGGTTGCATTCTCAGGCTTTATCATCAATTAAATTCCAGCACAATTTGTGTTAAAATTATGTTTCGATTTTGAGCCCGAAAAGGAAAGTTTCTTAATTCAAATAGGTTTCTTATTTTGAATAAGTTTTCTAATTGAATGATTTCCTAGTTGGAAAAGGTTTCCTAATTGGAGAAGGTTTCCTAAAAAGAGATTTCCTAATTTGGATCTAATTCTTGCTTATAAATAAGAATGGGATGTTATTTATGAAGATCATCAAAGAGGAGCTTCAGCTAGGGAATTACACTCTGAAGATATCCGAGTATTTATAACAATTAAATCTTGTGGTAAGGTTTGTGTATAATTCCTTCATGAGATTGAGAGATTATTTCATGAGAAATAGTTGGGCTAAATACTACGTGAGTTATTGGGTGTAATTGGAGCTTGGGAAACACTTAGAGGGTTTGAGTGACTCAAGTGTGGTTGTAATCTCCGTTGTATCGCTTGATCTATAGTGAAATTTCGTGTTGCTCTCCTCATGGACGTAGGTCATTACAATCGAACTACGTAAATCTGGTGTCCAATTTCTTTTCTTGTTCTTTCAATTTTATTGTTTGATCGCTTGACTTCCGCAACAATTGATATCAAAGCTAGGCTTGGCTCAGTTGAAGCGAATTGATCTCGACAGAAGAAGGAAAAGTGAGAATCGGCAGATTTGATGGTAATGACTTTGGTCTTTGGAAGATGCAGATTGAGGATTATCTATATCAAATGAAACTGCACTTGCTCCTATCTGGGATGAAGCTAGAGACGATGAAACAAGCTGACCGGGAATTGCTAGATAGACGAGCTTTGGATGTTATTCGGCTAACGTTGGCTTGTAACGTCGCGTTTAACATCGTGATAGAGACGACCACTGCGGGTTTGATGAAAGCCATGTCAGACATCTACGAAAAGCCCTCTGCGATCAACAAGGCCTACTTGATGCAACGTCTATTTAATTTGAAGATGAGCGAAGATGCGTCAGTTGTTGATCATATTAATGAATTCAATGTGATCGTTAGTCAATTGCGTTCAGTTGAGATTGACTTTGAAGATGAGGTACGTACTTTGATTCTATTATCCTCAGTGCGTGATAGTTGGAGTACTACTGTTACTGCTGTTAGTAATTCCTCTAGGTTAACAAATTTGACGTTTGATAGTGTTCAAGATTTAATTATGAGTAAGGACATCCATAGAAGAGAATCTGGTGAACATGTATCTACTGCTTTAGTAGGTGAAAATAAAGGAAGTGTCATGATCCGAACTAAGACTGTGACACTCGGTCCAAACTCATGGCCATATTTACTTCGGGGTTATTGATGTGACGTCCTAGGCCCGTCGCCGTCCCATTGCTTTTTATCTTTGAAACGAACAAGCGAAAGCAATTATACTTGACACCCAACAAAACTACAAACAACCAAGATGGGATAGAAACATATTTCACAAGTACACCAATAATTTATATGGTATATGCATATTTTACATGCCCTACCACTATGGGCCTTGTTCCTTACATACATCCGGATTGCATCCGGTCTTCTACATACTATCCACATGGTTTGGATAGTCCTAGTTCCTCTACCCCGGCTCCTTCATAAAAAAAAACAAAAAAACAAAAGTCGATTTCTTCGTGCTCGGTCAGCTATCTATCGCC